TGAAACACATTTGAGGAAATATCAGTCAGTGTCTCCCACCGTTTAGAAAACCACCTGTACCACATGATAATACGACCCCTTTTTTCCTCCAGTGAATTATCAGAAAGCAGGTCAACAGACATTTTTCTGTTCCTCTTTGTCACAGATCTTGAATTGCTGCCGTTTTGGTATTGAAGCTTTGAAAAATCCCATAATAGAAAAGAGTCTTTGTTACTTTGTCATCTCCTGTATCGATGAAGCTGTGAGGCCCCACCTCCATTTGCCTCATTATAAACCTTTCATAGTATGAAGGTAAAATTGTGGCTGCAAGTTATTGTAATCTGCTGATCCTGAGAGGTACGGCTAAGATTTTTCTCCACATTTGATTATTTCTGTTTGCTTGTCTTTGTCTCTTCAGGTGTGATTATTGTACCTAGTGCCGGCGTGGGGATCGTTCTCGGCGGCTACATCATTAAGAAGCTGAAGCTGGGCGCTCGCGAGTCGGCCAAGCTGGCCATGATCTGCAGCGGCGTGTCCCTGCTCTGCTTCTCCACGCTGTTCATCGTGGGCTGCGAGAGCATCAACCTCGGAGGGATCAACATCCCCTACACCACCGGGTAAGGAGAAGCTGGGCGGGTGAAATCCGGGGAGGTGGTGGGTCGTGCTGCATCACAGCTGACGAGGAAGCCTGACGTCACTTCGGCGTCAATGCCACTTCATTCATGCCTGAATTGAATCTTTACACTGGGTCTGTGTGTGCTGTTCCTGCAGTGATGTGGTTGTGGAGGATGTAGAGAAACACTGAAAGGATGGAGGAGACAAAGACGAAGCTAAGAATAAACAGACAGAAGTAAAAGAAAATCAGACTGACTGAGGAGGAGGGTTAAAGAAACTGAGTAATGAAAGCGGTTGAAAGAGTGAAGTCAGCCAAATAGTTTATCTGGTCGTTTAAACACGTGTAATCTGTTCCTGCCACTTTTCTCCGCCTTATTTCGTGTCTAACTTTGTGTAATGTTGACCTCGGCCCTGTTTTGGAACCATATGAGCATCATCTTCGAGCCTCAAAAACATGAGAGGCAGCATCCTCCCTACCTGGATAATACAAAGTCTTAAAATGC